CCTGTGAGTCGTAGTCCGTTTGGTGTGCGGTATTGAATGTCGACCTCGATGATGGCTTGAGAGATGGCTGCTGGCCGTATACGTCTCTCCTCGTCGAGCTCATCGTTGGCGCTATCCGTCGGTGTCTTCCGTCGGTGAGTACTCGATACTAAACGAAGGTGGTACCAACAATGGCTTGTGTCGGAGTCGAAGTGATTAGGAAGCCGAGACGTTATGTGGCTGTGCTATTGTTGATGGTATTGTGGAGGTGTGTCGCGGGGCCTGAAATCTATTACGTGACGAGGGAAAAAGAAAGCGAGGAAAACGGCATAAAGCAAATGACAGCGAAAACTGTTAAAGACAGTGATATAAAGGTACGGAAGACGGTAAAGGCGCAACAAAAGGAGAATGGTGAGGCTCTTGCTCTTGGGCGAACACGCAACCCCGGATCTTTACATGGCCATCGATGGGCTTGCCGCCTACCAGGCAAACTGCTGCCATACCGCATAGTGCATAGCTCCTTCACCTAGAGTTCTGCCCCAGCCTGTAATGTGGCAGCACTGGCGACTACGAATGAATGAGTCAAAGCGTGCTGGACGCAACAGGCGTTGTCAACGGGTCCCGAGTGAAGGTGATTGGAGCCACCAGGTGGATCTGCTTCATGAAGAGCGCCATGTATCCAGGCTTTAGGCTCAGTAACCGCCGTGGATTCGCTGGGCTGGAATTGTACAACACTATGCGAAATCTGAGACGCTCCAGAAGCATAGCTGGATGTCGTGTCTAGTGAAAGTTGAGATGGACCAGTCAGGTGAGAGGACGACGTAACTCAAGCGCCAGATCAATCAGGGCTGCCACCAACCGTTGGACGAGAAAGGCGCCGCCAAGATGGCGCTAGCTAGCCGTCGGTGCGGTCTGTATGCGCCGACCATTTCCCTGTCTACTCTTTGGTGGATGTCTTTATAAGTACCTGAGGAGGCTCTTCTCCATTCCATGAGACCTTCGCAGTCAGTGGTAGCAGTGGTGAACTCGTGGAGATTGGGTCAGTGGTGTTCAGCCGAACAGCTGCTTGGGGTTCTTCCTCTTTGAACCACCATTCCATAGATGCGACTCCATCGCCGGTTGTAGGTACTCTCTTGAACACACTGTCAAGTTGTATAGCATATAGTGATATGCATACCTCTGCGACGTCTACCGTTAGGCGGCCACGGCTTAAGCGTGCACAATGTGGTTAGCTAAAGCCGCGACTACACGTTCGCATTTAACCTTCCGGGACACATGCAAACACACTGCAACGTGCCAGAATTGTTTAGGAAACATCAGACACCTCATTTGGAATTGCTGGACGCACAACAACTCATGACAGCTGTTATCAAAATCGGTCTTGCGCGCCTGCTGGCGATGTGGGTGCAGCTATCCGAATACGAACTATTAATATCACCACACGATGCCACAGCTGCTGTATATCAGCGTCTTTCGCGCTCCACGGGACGCATTGAAGCCACACAAGGTCGTAGAGCAGGTGTCTATCGTTGCCGCGGAGTGGATTGGAGTCTTGAAAGGTAGTCAATCCTGGAGGTGCGCGCAAGACGGAATTAGCGTACTCCTTTTGGATCCACGCCAAGCAGCGAACTCGAAGACCTAGATTGGGTTATCGCCAGACTCCTTTCCAGCAGCTATACACCCCGACGTATTGTAGTATTTTATTGTTTCCCGTCCTTCGTTATATCAATTGCCATTGACGAGACGACAGCCTTGGACGTTGCACCGCATTCTCCCCGACGCTCCTTCCCGCTTCAAGTGCGACCGCCGCGCTCCTGCCGTTCGAGAACTTGGCTACCAGCCGCCAGCTGTCCTCAGTAATACCACAACGCTGCCTCTGCAGTGCCGCACGCTCGAGCAGCTGCCATCGAATCACATCGGCGACTGTAGCTGACTGTCCCGTCGCCACGACCCTCACGTCGGCGTCGCTCCTCCATCCCACCCGGCCCGTCCAACGCCGCCAAAGTCACGCTGGCTTCCCAATCCTCCTTCTCCGCTTCAAGTGGCCAACGCAGGAGGCGCTCTTCTGCTGCAAGGCAATTGCCGCCCAGTAATATCAACCTTCCGGATAGTGCAGAGTCGCGAAGCAGGTTAGGCACAACCAGCGGTCTTCACGGCCGCTCGCTGGGCGAAGCCTTACCCTCCATTCCTGGCACGCCAGGCGCCTTCGAAATGTCGAGATCGCCTTCGCCTCAGCCAGGCGGATGGTCGAGCCCGGGCCTGAATACCCCATACGATAACAGTGGGCGGACGAGCCCCTACCCGAATGGCTCCTCTTCACACAATGTCACTTGGGCATCGGCTCAACAGCGGAGTGCTGAGGTCAAAGGATACCCCGGCTTCACCCCGAGAAACCAAGGCTTCTTTGGCAAGCACTTTCGAAGAATCTCTACAAGCTTGCCCTTCAACCACGGCGATAAGGAGAAACTAGGTCGTGGGCGGTCGCAAAACAAAGTAATGCGGGCCTTGAATGGCATAGCCTGGACAATATGGCGTCTGCGGAAACGGGTCGCATTAGTACTATTCGTAGTATTCTTCTTCATTTTCTACAATTCAAACACACGTAAGTTATTAGCCCCTCCAAACCCCCCTCTCGCGATTGGCATTGACAGATCTAGCCATCCGTCGTATGTACAGACGGTCCGCATGGTTCGGCGGCGGCAGCAAATACGTCGTTATACTCGCAGCGAACCAAGGTGGAGGTGTTATGGAATGGAAGGGTCCCCGCGAATGGGCCATCGAACGCGACAGCGTCAAGAATAAGAAGAAGTACACAAGGAATTGGGGCTACGAATTGGAGATCGTAGACATGAGCACCAAGAAGCGTTATGCGCACGAGTGGAGAGAAAGTTGGGAGAAGGTTGACACCATTCGCAACGCCATGCGCAAGTACCCGCATGCTGAATGGTACGTGCTGTGTGGAGATGATGTCGCCCAGGCTAACATTTCGCAGGTTTTGGTGGCTTGACACGAACACGTTCATTATGGAGCCGACCTACTCCCTCCAGAAGCATGTCTTCAAGCAGCTCCAAGACGTGACATATCGCGACATCAATGTTTACAACCCCCTCAACATCACTCATCCTCTGACCGACGAATACCTCGACCCCGAAACACGCTCGCCAGTGGGAGACGGCAAGGTCGACTCTGTCAACATGCTCTTACCCCAAGACTGTGGCGGTTTCAATCTGGGCTCATTCATGGTGCGAAGAAGCGCGTGGACCGACAGGCTGCTTGACATCTGGTGGGACCCTGTCGGCTACGAACAAAAACATATGGAGTGGGAGCACAAGGAGCAGGACGCTTTCGAGTATATGTACCAGAACCAGCCCTGGATCAGGCCTCACGTCGCCTTTATCCAGCAACGCCAAATCATGAGCTTCCCACCAGGCGCATGCGGTGAGAATGGCGACAACCCCGATATCCACTACCAAGAGCAAGATCGCGACTTTATGGTCAACATGGCTGGCTGCGAATGGGGTCGCGACTGCTGGGCTGAGATGTACAAGTACCGCCAACTCAGTAACCACCTGAATCGCACACCCTGGGAGAAGTTCAAAGACGGTATTTCGGACTTCTTCAAGAGTAGGACCAAGAAGGAGGAGAAGAAAGAAGAGAAGAAGAACTAGAGATTTCACGAAACACAGGGATTGGTCTGGATGAACTGGAACGCATTTCGATATATTTTGGATTTCCCTAAGCCTGCGGCTCGGCTTACGATTTTGCTATAATACCCGCACGCATAGAGGAGGATGTATGACAGTGGTATGATATCTGCATGGATCGGAGTCGATGTTCCATACCTGTACCATACGAAATTGACTTTCGGCGCACTGGACACCGAGCTGGGCGGTGTGTTTGCATCTCATTCGTAGGATCGCTATTTGTATTGCAAGGTCTCCCCAGTTGTTCATACCAAGCCTGTGACGTACTCCAGAAGCAGTATGGGGAACAAGAAAAGAGGAACTCGAAGTCGATACAGATGAGCGAGCCTACAGTACGCGGTATGAGAGGACGCGAATCTCCTGTAAAGCATGCACAGGAGAGCTGGCCTCCCTTGTCCAGTCCATGTCGAAGAAGAACAAAGTCTACGTGGCGCAAATCGACTCGCTTCACACCCCAGATAATGACGTGATAGATAGCGTGTGGTAAACAAGCGTCGAGGAGGGTGGAGTGATGATCGATCTGTATAAACTTTGGCATGGTTGTACGTAGCACTGAGAGATGAGGCTACGCGACTACGCGACCATGTCTTGCACACCGCAGACCACAGGGCAAATGCGCTCAGGAGATAGATGCGCATGTCCTGGATAAAGGCAGGTGAGCACATCTAGACTCGCCAGGCTTGGATAGCAAGGGGAGTGGGCGACGTCTGATTCGTCCGTCACCCACACCTACTGCCCATGGTCATACGCCAACGACCAGACGGGACACGGGGTCAGGAACGAGCAGCCGTCTACGTACTCCAACCTCGACTTCGCGATATCTCTCCTTACATCAACTTGTCTCCTTCCGCTTGCTACGTTCGCTCTCGGTCGTGTTCCTTCGCGCCCCGCCCAAGGCGATTACCGTGATCTCCGCTTCCCACCCTTCCCCACGAAACGTCATTACGCCCAGACCCTGGCCGTGCGCAAGTTGGGGAGCCCGTCTACATAGCGTCAGCTCGTCCGCGGCCTTAGCCTTATCTCCAACGACGACTCGCAGCGTCGCCGCGACAGGATTCGGTGGCTCTGGGTGCCGTGCCTTGTTTCTGGGCCCCGATAAGCTGTTTCAGAGCTGCGCTGGTCTTTCTTGCTTCAATCAACAAGCTGTATCGTTCCCAGTCCTAACAAAGAACCGAAGTCGGAACGGCCCTTGGGATCCACTTGAGCGCATACCTCCACACCACCGGTCAACCTAGGGCTCGGGGATATAAGGACTATCGCTGAGGTCCAGCGCCGCAGAGCTCTTTCGAGGCTCGGATTTGTGAAGGTTAGGGTGCCATGCACGATCACCGTCCACCGCGAGCAGGCAGACAGAACATAGGGGCCGACGACGCGAACCACCACGACCAAGCCATGCCTCCTTCTCGACATGTCGCTGCGTCTTCAAGGCAACGCTCAGAGGGTATGACCCGTTCTCTTTGACTACTTCACTGTCTCTGTACGAGGTGCAACAGCTGACACATCTTACACAGAGTCATGGATTGATCTCGCATCGGCGCCTTCGTCCACCTCCCTATCCTCTGCGACCGACGAGATCATCACAACGGGCCTCACGGTACAGCACGACTCCAACGCGCACAGACGGCCCAACAGACGCTCACGAGGCGGCGGTCAGTTCTCAATAGGGACTGGACACCGCATCACGGCGGGAGGGAACAGTAGTCAGGAGGAGTATGAGGAGAGCGAAAGCGAGTCGGACAGGGTCATGACATCCTCCAATGAGGCCATCGCTTCGTCACCTTTGAGGCAAACTCCGCAGTCTGTCGCGTCTTCGGAGACCATGTCTGAGAGGGAAGATGATGACGATGAGAATGCGACGGCGGTCAACTACCCCCGTTCCTCAAGGCGGGAGTTCCAGCCACGGCCAAACGCCTTCTCGCACCCGAACAACCAACAAGCTATCCGTTCGCAGTCTGGCACCCTGTACACACCTCGCAGGAACGTGAGGCCGGCTGGACAGCGACAGCACTCCTACCCTCAGCATAACCCTTACAACGCCATGGCACCCAACTACCAACCCGACCACGACGAAGCCCTCCGCGCCAGTCTATCCACGTTGCTCTCGGCTGCCGCCGCTGTGCGTGGCCTCCCGAAGCCAGGCCAACCACGCGCGAACACTCCCTCATCCACTCGAGTCGATCCATCCTCCCTCCGTATGGTCCCAGAGTCCGTGGCCTTGGGTAACATATCCGAAGAGACCGCATCCTCTCCATGCAGCACTAGCAGCAGTCCTTCTGATAAGCCCAAGCGCAAAGCAAGTCCGCCGGTACCCGGTGCTCGTAGCAGCAGCAAAGACCGTCGTACTGTCAAAAAGGCACGCAAGACCATCCCGATGATTGAGGAAATCAGCCCGACGCTGCTTACCTGGGTCGTCAGCGCTGGCGTCGTAGTCCTGGTCAGCGCCATTGGTTTCTCAGCTGGCTACGTCGTCGGCAAAGAGACCGGACATGCTGAGGCGATGGGTCAGATTGGCACCGCAGGTTCCGAGGCCGGACGCTGCGGTAAAGAAGCTGCTGCAGGCATGAAGGGCACTGGTCTTGGCCTGCGGAAGCTGCGATGGGGTTCTGGCGCGGGAATCCGCGTCTAAGCATCCACGATAACGGTGACGACATGACATGCATAGCATTTAGCGAACACGAGTTTGCAGGTATTGCGGGCGTTTCCATTCCTTTCTACTACGACAGTTTGCATATTGATATCACTCGGCATGGCGCTGGTTTGGCGTTGGGCTTGGTCTGAAATTTAGGAAGTCTTGGGGTCGTGGCTACGACCCCATGGGAAGTGAGAAGACAGTTGGTGCTGTTGTATGCACGTATAATGTATCGGGATTGCTGGTCGGTTAGCTACGATGGCAGTTATAGACTCAATATAGGCATCCATTCTTATGATATGTGTTGCTACCGATATTGGAGCAACCTGTGAGGTCGTGCTCTGCAAGACGTTTACCGAGAACAGCTGGAAGTAGGATAGTGCTACTTCTCCATAGGGTCGTCCTCTTCCACGGCAGTCTTGGTGTCCGATGACTTCCTTTTCACAGATGTAGACTCATCGTCATCGCCACCAGTCCCTCGTCCTCAGGCTCAGCTTCTCCGTCAGGCGTTGTCTCCTCGTCGGACGTTGTCTCTTCTTCATCCACGTCCGTTTCCCCCTCATCGTCGCCTTCATGCTTTAACGCATTCGTAACTTCAATCGGCTTACGCCGAGTATTCTTCCTAATCGCCTCGCAAAACTCCTCGCACTGGTACTCAAGTACATCATCATCCTGGAGCCAACAGATCAACCTAATGCTTATCCTCTCAAGCGCCAGCATGTGTTTAAACTCCCTGGCAAACTGTCTGCTAATAGTAGTCCAGTTTGGAATCCAGCCCTTTAGATCGTAGAAGATTATCTCTAGAGCCTTGATCGCTTCCAGCTGGTGCGGCTCGAGCTGGTCAACCATCTTGGAAAGCTTTTGGTCGTCTATGATGATCACATTGTTTTTGAATAGTAGCGTGGAGGTGTCTGAGCGGATTTGGCGGCAGGTTGATGTGACGTCTAGGAGATCGGTGGGGTCACATCCTTCCGGCACGTAGTCTGTCTCGCTCGTGCGATAGTGATGGTGTGAGCGACCGAAGTGGACGCTGCCGACGGAGAAGACGTAGTTGTAGATCTTGTTTCGAACTTCTCCTGGTAGCTTTAGGAGGGGCGACTCGAGCTGGTTGCGTTGTGTACTATCAATGTAGTCAGCATGGGGGTCTGTCATGATGGCTTTAACCGTCAAATGTACATTGTATCTGCCTCAGCCATCATATCTTCTTTATCGGACATGGTTGAGTGCAAGTTGTAGGATAGCTACGGTTGCGGAAGAGTGTTAAGTAGACTTTAGGTGTGACAGGGGTAACAAATACAGGGAGCAAGATTTTCGTATCACGCCCGATGTTGATGGTCTTGGGTGAATGGATAGGGTGTGACTTCTTTGTTATGAATTACCCTGTGAAGCTACTACTACAGTGTTGCGGGATCTGCGTAGGCATTCATTCCATTGTCACGTAGGAATGGAGAGCGAGGAATGAAGAGCAAGTTGGATATGCGGTTCTGTGTCACCGTTCGCTTCATCACGCACACGGAATACAAAAGATGGGTGCAAGTGATGTAAAGAATGCTCGCTTCTGTCAGATGAATAGCCCCATTCTCTCTCAGTCAATCAAAGAATACCCTCTTCCATCTATGGCTCAAACAGTTGCCTCTCCGCCGCGACCGTTGATGTGTTGTCCGCCAGCTGGGGTCGTATGAATCCATGTCTTCGACGGCCTCGTGCCGACAGCTAAGCGGAACTCTTCACAAAGTTCCTAAGAATCGAGCACGACGTCTACATCATCTCGACCGAGTCCCTTCTCGACAGCCTCGACTAGATGTATACGCCCCGATAGTCCCAAATCTGGACAGCAGAAAACTTCCACGCGCTTCAGCCCCGTCAACAATCTGACCTCTGGCCACAAAATGGTCCATACTGCGTCACTTCTAGCGTTCATGTAATGCGTACGTATGATTGATATGGCCTGACGCTGAGTGGTGTTCAGTCTCTCTATTTGATAATGGAAACAGGACCTTATGACATCCATAGTGCATAGTTCGAATGGTAGAATCTTGGTCTCCGCGTAGAGCTGCCGAGACACGAGCGTTAAGCCGACAAATTGATGGAGAGGTGTGAGCGAGACGGACGGATCATAAGACAATGCAGAAAGGAGGGCGAATTTCCTGGTCCTGTAGGAGATGCGAAGCTCCATACCACCGAGCGCGTATCCGTAGATCTTGTTCCGTAGCTCAGCAGGTAGGCGAAGAAGAGGTGAGCGCTGGCGATTGACCTCGGAGCTATACATCGGGTAAGCTTTTGTGGAACGTCGTGCTACTTTAGACTTACATGACTTCTGCGGCTTCGCTAGAGAGCCTTTCGCCCGAAGGATCGATGATGGTATCGTAATAAGTTGACATCTTGTTCATATGGAGTTTGCGTGTTCCAAAGGGTAGCTGTGGGAAGTTGAAGAGTAAGTAGAAGTGGAAGTGACAAGGTAAGGGACAGTGCCAAGACTAGGCTCACTTTCACTCTGGTCAGTGGGTCGCACCCGCCTCCCAGAGCCTCTCATCTACGAAGTGAAAGCAAGTGACAACAAACGAAACGTGGCTTCCAGCACCTCATCCCAGGGGATTGAACCTAGCTGTCGAGATACACAGACAACCCAGAAGACTACGTTGCCTCAAGATTGTTCTGAACTCTTTGTTTCATACTAATGTAGACGCCAGAGTACCTGTTACAAATGTGAAATGCCCCACGATCTTCTCATGGTATCACACAACATCCACTTTCAGCACAAAATCTGCAAAGATCAGCTGACTAGAGTAGAACTAAATGCATCCTTGACTACCTGGCCCCATGAGTGGCAAACTTTTCAAGTAGATTGAAAGTAAAAGGAACTGATACAACTCCCGCTGATCGACCCATAGAGCTGATCGCAAGCTGGAAACGCTATACACATGAGAACATATTCTTCATCTCGATCATCCTATCCCAAGATCTTGACCCGACCTGACCCTACATCTGGATATATCTCTTACAATGAACCATTCCTTTTCCCTGATAAAACCTCAAAATTCTCGTAGTAACCAAGAAGTTTCTGCCTCTATGGTCGACCGCCAACGAAGTCGCTCCATGACCTGACTTCACTGGGGATACCCTCCTTCTTGGGCAGCTTCTCGCTCATACATTGAGCAAACAGAACAGCAGTCTATATTGCAATTAGCCTCTCATCTCATGAAAATCAGGATAATGAACTTACCTTGGGCTCCATGAATAGCGGAACACCGAAGTCGACCGCGTTCCTCCTCATTACGTAGTCCTCGTCAAACAGGCCACTCGCCCTGTACTTGGCCAGGTTGAAGCAGCCGCGGATGTCGTTCTTCTCAAACACCTCACGGAGTTTCCTCTTGTCATCCTTGGGGAACTCGATGACGTCGACGCTGATGCCCTCGGTGTTCTTCTCCAGAAGCTCCTTGACGTCCTTGTTGGCAGCAAGGAACCTGTAGCCAAGTGCGTGAACGTACTTGGCGATCTGGATAAGGGAGTTCGAGTGGAGCGAACCGGGTGTGACATCGCCACCGAAGAGGAGACCCTCACCGGGCTGGGGAAGACGGAAGTTCATCTGCGATTGCGCGGACGCCCAATAGGCCTCGACCAGGTCCTTACCGAAGCAGGCCATTTCACCAGTAGACGACATCTCTACGCCAAGGTAGGGGTCAGCACCCGCCAACCTAGTCCAAGAGAACTGGGGAACCTTGGTGGCGAGGTAGTTCCTCTCAACGCTCATGAGGTCAGTTGGCTCGGGAATGTCACGGCCAACGAGAGCCTTTGTAGCAACTTCGATGAAGTTAGTACCAAGGACCTTGCTGACGAAGGGGAAGGAACGAGAGGCGCGGAGGTTGCACTCGATGACCTTGAGGTTAGGCTCGGAGCCCTCAACTTCTTCCTTGATGATCTGCATGTTGAAGGGACCAGTGATGTTCCAGGCCTTAGCAACCTTGTCTGCGATCTCCTTGACACGTTCCTGGATGCGCTTGTCGAGGTGGACAGGGGGCAGTACGAGGGTGGCATCTCCGGAGTGAACACCGGCGTTCTCAATGTGCTCACTAACAGCGTGGACAAGGACGTTTCCGTTGGAAGCGACAGCGTCGCAGTCAATCTCTTGAGCGCCGTCAATGAACTGGGTGATGACAACTGGGTGGTCGGGCGAGACGTTGGAAGCAGCAAGGAGCTTCTCCTTCAGCTCGTCCTCACCACGGATGACAGTCATAGCAGCACCTGACAGGACGTATGATGGGCGAACGAGAACTGGGTATCCGACGGAGTTTGCGAACTTCTTCGCTTCCTCGTAGGAAGTAAGCTCCTTCCAGGCGGGCTGGTCAACACCGATTGAGTCCAAAATGGAGGAGAACTTGTGGCGATCCTCGGCCTTGTCGATGTCGTGAGGGTCGGTTCCAAGAACCTTTGCCTTTCCAGACTCTTGAAGCTTGAGAGCAATGTTCTGAGGAAGTTGGCCACCGACAGAGACAACGACACCGCTAGCGGTCTCTAGCTCGTAGATATCCATGACACGCTCATAGCTGAGTTCTTCAAAGTAGAGCTTGTCAGCAACGTCGAAATCAGTCTGAAAAACGGTTAGCTAGGTCCAATGTATGCGTTCATGCCACCTACAGAGTATGTCTCGGGGTTGTAGTTGATCATGACAGTCTTCTTTCCGAGCTCGTTGAGGGAGCGGGTAGCGTTGACAGCACACCAATCGAACTCGACTGAGCTTCCGATACGGTAGACACCGCTTCCGAGAACAATGATGCCATGGTCGTCGAAGGTGACGTCGTGAGAGGAAGCGTTGTAAGTTGTGTAGAGGTAATCTGTAAATTGTTAGCAACACTCATGAATGCATTGGATAGGCAAAAATTTTACTCGTGTCGGCCGGGAATCTATGGGAATAGAGTCAGTATATGTCTCGCATGATGTTAAGATAGGCATATTGCTTACTCTGCAGCCAGTGTGTCAATCTTCTTGACCCATGGCTT